CATATTTGATTTTTGGTTTAATGAATAGTGGCACGTTTGTAAACAATTTTAAAGTGTAACATTTTTGTAAAGTGGCATATGAGATGTGGCATTTTTTAAAAAAGAAAATTTTTCTCAAGATCTTATTTTAACAAAATTAGTCATTTTAAGAAGATTTAAGATTTAATGGAATACCCGGAACATTTGAAGCAAGGATTTATGAACCTAGTAAAGATGCAACTTGGCTTTTGTTGTTTTCATAAGAAGATGCTTACTTATCGTTTGGCTGAATCGTGCATTTAACAAAATAAAACGAAAATACAATTATCAGAACTGTGTCTTGTTCAGTTCTGCTGTTTTGGGCTTATTTCGAGTCCATATTTAACTAACGGATAGATAGAAGACCCTAAGAGCATCCGCATTTGAGACATTTTGTATGTGTTTTTAAATATAAAATTATTAAAAGTTGAGTAATATAAAATTATTAAAAGTTGAGTAAAAGAAAGAAAGAGAGTGCTTTTGGTTGAAATAATAGGGTGTATTGAAATATAAAATTAATAAAATTTGAGTAAAGAAATGAGATAGTGGGTATTATTGGAGAGAGGATGTCTCGGAGAAAACAAAGTTGGAGAGAAAATTGATGAAAGTTGGAGTGTGTTTAAATATAAAATTAATAAAAATTGAGTAAAAAGATGAAAGAGAAGTATAAAGTTGAGTAAAAGAAAGAGAGAGTGTGTTTTTAATATTTTTTTTATTTAGAGACATCCACATTTGGTCTCCAATGTGGATTGTCTAAGAGCATCATTATTGTTAACCCTCTTAAGAAATCTTTAAGTTATTTTTTAAGATTAAATTTAATATTAAAAACAGTTTAACACTCAATTAGTTTCATGTAAATATATATGTGTCCAATGGTGACAATGGTTCAAAAGAATTGAAAAATAATAAACATGTATTCCTTGTTTCTTGTTGTCTGAAACATGGCATGTGGTCATTGTTCCTTGTTGTCTGAAACATGGCACATGTTATTACGGGAAGTAATGTAATATTGCGTACAAATGGTTGATCCTCTCCCTGAAGTTCCACCTTTGATTGTAGCTATGGAGTTGACAAAGCTTCCATCTGTCAATTCACTTTCTCAGACATCCTAATCACACAAAACTCAACAGAATCAGAACCAATTCGAAGACAGAATCATGATTCATTGGTGAAGCAAGAACAACAAACAAAACTTGGGAGAGGATCCGTCCTTGATTTATTGGCTGCACTTAGGTATAGATCAACGTAATCACTGAATGATTTGATTGGAACTCTTTTGCCATTCAGCTCAACCTTCACAGTCTTCCCCAAGCATCCAGCAATATCAAATACACGTTTTCTCATGAGAGAAACCACATCGTCTTCTAAATGAGTCATGCCAAACTTGCTAAAATCGGGCTTGAAAAAAACCTTCGTCCAGTTCTCACTCTTGTTGCATTTGGTAATCACAGGTTCAGACTTTTTTTCCATATTGTTTTCAAACACCTAAGCAACACCAGAAAGGTTAAATTCCAAAAAAAACCACAACAACATCCATAGCAAAGACCTTAATCTAGCAATTGATACCAAATCATTAAGAGAGGAGTCACAAACCAAAAGAAAATAATCTCAATTTATAGATCCTACAACATGTATGTGTGTCAAATCATCTTGAATCTAGCAATTGATAGCAAATCATAAGCCAAAGGAATTTAAGCAGCAGAAGCGATTGATGTCCCTGCTTGTATTTCTTCTGTCGCTTGCCATCTGCAGTCTCGATGGTGAATTGAGAGGAGAAACCCTAGAACATAGGTTACCGGACGGTAAACCATTTCATCGTTCTCGTAAACCCAGAGCGTTTGGGTGTGTTTCTCAACGGATCCGATGTAAGTGTTAGGACGGAGTAAGATGTGCTCAAGCTGCGATTTCTTCTGATACATCTCTTCGATAGTCTTCTCGGCTCGAGACGCTGGAGCTTTCGCCGGAACCTTGGCCTTGGCCACATTGACGTTGTTGCTGCTTTGCAGCGGGAGATTGGAAGCCATGGAAGGGGAAACCCTAGAAATTTCAATCCAGTAACATAAAAAACTCAACTGATACTCTCCGAATTCGAGAGATAAGCAGGTGAGAGAGGAGGTCGAGCCCAAGTCGAAGACCGTATCGATACCGCTTCACGCTCCTCCATATCCCAAAGAATTAGGGATACTTCATCTTCTTCGCCGAGAACTAGGGAGAGAGAGAGAGAATAGGAGAAGACATCGGAATCGACTTCGGAAGGAGACGAGACGAGGTGACGAAATTACAGAGAAATCGCCATTGCGATGGCCATCG